TTTCTTGCTGGGTATAACTTTTGTCTGCGATGGTAGTCTGCGGGCACTCTACGCCTAAAACAGTGGTATACTGTTTAAAAACAGTGACGGATTACCTTAAAAAAATGCAAGCCGAAAAAGGATGGCAATTCCCAGCAGCAGGTCTTTTGTTCCAAGTACGGTATTTTGTTACACAGACCAGCTCTTTTGTCCCATTTCAAGCACCCCGGCTCTGCGTATAAACCCAAGGTGCTCAAACAAGGGCTCCCCGGCAGCAATTGGTTAAGATTCAATGACTTGTGATGGACTTGGAGATTGCAGGGACTTGGGACAGACTTGACCAAAATACTTGCTTACTTCACATGCTCAGTTCATGGTTGTTCTAGACAAATTGTGAGACAAATTTTAAGTGTTGCCCTTGGTAACAGGTGTGTTTCAGCAGTAGTGGTCGTTGACTGATAGCAGAGCAGAACGCTAAAATGGAACACAACAAAAACGAGTACAGAAACAAATCCTAGCAACATTTATTGCCAAGGCAACTTAAACACTGTAGCTACTGACAACCGCCGTTTTGCATGAAACTTCACACTCGCATAAAATCCAAAGAGGCTCTGAAACCCTTTGTAATGGTTATGCAAAGACTACTTTATGAAGAATGTGTCGCAAATGATCCATTTTTAGGATTCCGTCGGAAGAAATATCTGTCACAAGGGTCTTCCAAGACCTTTTTGTTGCTTCAGATTTTTTGCACTTGCTTTAGACTGACTTGTGACCATGCCCACAGTCTTCATGATCAATATTTGTGCAAGTGATATTTGAGTTGCTCAGAGGGCATTCTCTTTGATCGGACTATAATTTGCTGAAGGAAAGAATACATGTAAAAACTGTACATTTCTGTATGTTACTGTTTTCACTATGTAAATAATTTGATAGAGTAAATGCACACACGTAAATGTTGCGAACTAAATCCTTGTGATAAATGCTTTTTTTTTTGCATCATTGTTCCCTTTTCAGTTAGATTTGTTTCCTTTGTTGAGGTCAACTTCATAAACATTTCCCAATCAAAATTTGGGCAATATTGTTTCCTGTTGGTGTGTGGGTTTTTTTACCAAGCGTATTAATTTAGACTGTTACAGTGCACCGCCCACTGCCAGCCTGCTGTCGGTTTGTCAAATCATAGTTCCCCGCTCTTTTTTACACGCAGAATAATACCTGCCCAGTCTTTTGTAACAACAGTCATCAATTTGAATTGACTCTGTCTAGGTTCGATGTAGATTTAGTGATTGTTAATGACATCTGTACTGGGATTTGAACTGCTCCTTTACTTTGTACAGTAAATTTGATAACGCAGTGCAGGATGTGGGAATAGCACAAGGTATTTGAATGGAGTTTCAGATTATAAAGAATGACCATTTTTTGGGTCTGGCAGCATCGTACCAGTTCAGGTGTGTGTGTGTGACCACAATCTTGCAATACAATCATGATTTCATTCTTTGTTTACATATGCACTTCCTATGGGGATCAGTGGATCATGTCCACCTCACTGCCATAGGAAAGTGCACGCATAACCAAAGTGCGATGTCATTATGTTAGAGGTCTCTCTTTTTTTTCTTCTTTTTTGAGAACTGTATCAATAAATGATTCCATCTTTGGGGGATCTATAATTATAACTACTTCAGGGCTCCTTTTGTGTGCAGTTTTCATTTTGAACAAAATCATCCAGAAGCCTCTCCGAAAAGAGTTATTTCTCAACAGCTGTTTTTAATACATGTAATGTCACAGGTCAGTGTTGAATGAAAGTTATCGTACATTTCGGTGTTAGGATTGATCTTTCGAACGTGAAGTTCTCCTCATGTTTATAAATAACCAGCCTTTCAGAATTGAAATCAGACCTTTAAAACAAAATGGGTCATTTCACTACTCGTTAATATGGCTTACTTTTCACCGCTTTTGGGGAAACCTGATGACTCAAGGGTGACATGCAGGGTATTGAAAAACATAGTGATTCGAGTTCGGATTAATTGTGTGAATTTAAATCGACAAACGATCAATTCTGGTGAAGTAATTTTTAAAAAATCTGAATTACAAAATGCTTTAGACCAATAAATCAACCCATAATTTCAAGTTTTGCTTGTAATCAGATCCACTGCTTGTGTGTTCTTGCACTTAATTAATGATTTTGAAAATTAATGGAATGCACAGAAGCTCAAGATTATGACTATACCAACAATTTTGCGCCAGGTGTTTAACCATTGCGTTGTCTTTTATAGACAGGTATTTGATGTATGTGTTACTTCTTGTGTCGGCTGTTTTATGAAAGTCATTTCAAAAGGAAAATAAGTTGCTATTACTGCAAATATTCCATCCAACGAAATTCTATCGGACGTGGAAGATTTATTGTTACTCTGCCTGACCCAACCCAACATTATCATATTACTGCTGCATAGCTGGAAAAAATAATAATATGGCGGCTGCGTGATGCCTTACAATCCTCTGTGGGCCCACAAAGGGTTTAAAGACTGGCCATCAATCATCCGGCTGATGTGACATGTTATTTGCTCGACTGATTGACGTCATCAGCCGTCGTAGCATGTCACGTGGCCAGGGCGTGTCTTGGTGATTTGCATACATGATTGATTGATTGAGGGGCTTAGTACATACATGTAGAGATCACAGAAGATGTGCCTAGTGTCGACGTGCGATTGCAGTTGTTATTTTAAGATACGCCGCGCTTTGTAGGTCTTGGGAATCGTTTTGAACTTCAAACCCGATAAGAAAGTCGGAACTGCTTGATTTGATTTTCAAAATAAATGGGTGTATGTACTGGAATTCAAAAGATAAATGGATTAATTTAAGCACTGTGATCCAACTGATTTACAGAATTGAAATGTCTCGGTATTCAGATTGCGTGCTTTAAATTCAGCGAATAATTATGTGTCTTATGCGGATCGAGTTATTTCGCTAATCTTTCACTTTGGAACTTTTTTAGGCTTTCAGCCGGATTTTTGGGACTTATGTGTAAACATCTGTTGCCTTATTGACAATTTCTTTTTCAACGTTGAGTTGTGGATCTTGAATGGTCTGTTTACAAACCTCTGAACGAAGGCGTTCTCATTTTCGCTAATTTTCGAGCAATCTACTACCGCGTCACAAGTACATGCACCAAGTTAAAATAGTGCACTTTTGTTGCACACACATCCATCTCAAAGTACTATGATTAATCAATTTAAAATTCTGCTATCAACTTTTTACAATCCACATGTGCGGCAAGTGTGGAGTTCTTGTTTTCTCAGATTCCCAGGCATTTCTCCCTTTTTATCCTCAATGTAAGTTTTCAATGATTAAATATCGTTTGTAGTTAATTTCACACCACCTGTATTTCTTTAAAAACTAAAAACTCTGAATGCCTTATTTAACGCGTTGGCGAATTATTGTGAAAAACAAATCGACAGAAAAGTAAAAGAAAGGGGGAACAAGATCCTAATAAGGTACCGCAGTTCTAATGTACCTGGGAAATATTAACTCATTAATGTTAATCGCAAGACCTATGTTTGGCTACATACAGCTCGCTCGTGCTGTCTTGGAGGGTTATAGCGCCCCCATATCCTATTATCTCGCCATGTTGATGTGTGCCAGCTGCTTGCATGCACGGTGATGATATGTGTGCGCGCAAGGTCCCGCTGTAAACCCCCCGATTCTGTCTGTTCTTCTCGACGCCGCCTGGATTTTCCGTCAGAGGAACATGCCCCGACGGAAGCAGCAGGCCCCGAAACGTCTAAAAGGTGAGTTTTGTCCGTATTTTCGGTCGTTTCTGTGGTAGTTGAAGGCGCGGTCTGGCCGATCGGCAGTGAAGCTTAGCGAGCGGGACTTGGACCGCGATGATCGAGCTCAGCCTGCCTGGACGAGGGGCCCCCGTCACCCGGGCTGTGATGGGTTGCGCGCGGCTGGTTGGCTGGCTGGCTTGATCCATCCCTGGCACTAGCACCATTGATGTGTTGACGGTTCTCAGACTGACATGTTTCATTCGCCTTGAAGTCGGGGTGATTGACGCATCTCGGTCAACACCCTCGCCAGGGTCAAGTGTTAAGGCTTGTCTAATAAATCACCGTTTGCCGACATGCAAGCGAATCGCAGGCGCCGCGGAAATTAGCCCAAATGAAGTTGTGTTTGGTGGTGCCGCCGAGGACTTTTGTGGACGGCGAACGCCAGGTTTTTTTTTTTCGGGGTGGGGGGGTTCATAGGGTTAGGGGAGTTTTGTAATGGGGCTTTAAATATCATTAACAGGGCAGAGCGGTCGGGCTTTTCTTTACCCTATGAAGGGATTAGAAACTGGGCGTTATGTGCAGTTAGGAAGTCCTACGTGGTAATTTAATTAACTGCCATGAATACAACTGGGTTTTTCTTGGACTCCTGTAGTTGTGTAAACATAGCGGTATCATGTTGGCTCTGGAG